AATCCAAGTTAATGATTCACATGAACAACCATTGAATAAATACCTTCATTCGCTTTAATGCTTCATCATCAGAGGTGGTACCATCACAAGACTCACTGGAGCAATACCAGAAATGTCGTATGATATGATTTGACCAGTCTTTAATTTTGTGCATTGATTTTGGTTTACCCAACTAAAATTTACACCACATTACTGTAAGTCAAAGTCATAGTAAACTCTGCCTGTCCAAACAAGTTATATACTACAATATTTTTACAATATTTGTAAAAATTACAAACCTTAGCCAGAGATTTTTTTATGCTCTTTTACTTATGCCAAACATCCAAGCTATGCACTATGTTTGCGTATTTGGATTCTGTAATGAAAAACTTCGTCATTAAACAAATGTATATAAACATAAATACAAAACCAGGGAGCAGCATGGCAGTGTCTTCAAACAACATCAAATGTAGCATAAAAATTGCCTAAACTTATTATATTATAAACTTATTATACTCTTCATATCTTACATGAATTTGTAATTTATATAAAGCTTACCAAGTAATGCCTTCACAGGTGTTGATGCATCAGTCACTAACTCTACCACATCAATTTCTTGTGTTAGGCGATCTAGATTTTGCTGTACTGCCTATTTTTCCATATTGGTGGAGATGAGACCAACATGCCTCTTATCCAAGACTTCAATGTCAAGAATGTAATTTGAATCTACTTCCACCATGAAATAACAAAGATTCTTGGCATTGAAGCCTGGCGAGTCACATTGGCCATCACCACCAATAACAACTTCCTTTCCAGAATACTCCTTCAGGATATCGCTTCTCATATCACTGCACCAACAGTATATTTTTGGTATTAAGTACAGTCACTGGTACCTGTAATATGTGGACTTAGACAGAAACTCTAAATTCAAGAAACTTGCCATCCGTTCCACTTTGGCATAATTGCTACCAGATAATATCAGTGATGCAGCTGTCTGTAGATCATTGACATAAATATCATTGACTTGGTGGGAGGAAGAGAATCTGTATCTGTGACCAGAGGAACATTCATAGTTCACAATTAGTGTAACACCAACAAAGTGTCTCTTTGCTCCATAGCATCTACACTGATTTGAAGTGAATCATCACCATCTGACTGCTCTTGCTCATCGTCAGACATTGAAAAAAGATAATCATCATCAGTCATACTACCTTCAGAGTCCTCATCACTACTGTGGGATTTCTTCACGCACTTTGGTTTGACCCTACAGGGCCAAGGTCTATGGGTAAGTTGGATAAAAATAATTAATGGGCAATATGACAATTTTTGAAGGTTACATTAGGTAAGTATGTAATGTTTATGTTGTGTATTTACCCCCTAAGTAATCAAGCTTGAGAATATGATTTAATTAATACATGATCGAAGTTTAATGAAAAGCATTGACAATTTTTTTACATATGTACAAGGGACTTTGACAAAACTGCCCTCCTTCATTTACATAATTCTTGGGTGACTGACCAAGAAAAGTCCTCATTTTAACTGGGAACCGTATCATAGTCCCATCGCCATGCTGATCTAGCCTGTAAGTCCAGTTGTCTAGCAGCTTACACCGACTAAAATCTTTAGCCTCGTACAATTTCCAATGTCTTTGTTCTGCTTGTTTTCCTAGGCCGTCAAACAACATTTTGAAAACATCATGGCGAAACTCTATGGTGACTCTCTGCTCCGGTCCCTTGTGACCAAGGCTATCCATAACCTCTCTCCTCATCCTGTCAACACAAACATTGACAATTGCTTGCGGAGGTTTAGGGTTCTCAAAATACCTATTCAATAACAGTATTTAAAGTGTGTAAACAAACTTGAAAAATTGAAAGGAGATAGATGTCTTTCCAAGGATCACACAAACTTGAAATGACATGCATATTTTTCAACATGTCAAGCAAATCCGACTGGCATTTGCTAAAAACGTCGAAATGGGTTTGTGTGAACCTTAGAATCAACAGCTTTAAGAAGGGGATTTTTTATATAATTGATGTTGGAGATGTCTTGTTTAGATTCTTTATAAAATAATATACATATTAAAACAATAAAGCAGCAGCCAGCATGTTCATACCTTATGGATGCTGGAGATATATGATCTTCTGGCTCCCAAGTATTCTCAAAGGAATTGTACCCGTCCCATTTGACTAGGCATTTCGTTCCCTATGATCAAGTATGACATTTTAAGAAATGATAAAATGTTTCAGTTTATATTTTGACAATATTTCCACCTTATATAAATGAGTATATTTAGCTTTCATATTTATTTACCTCCTTATCGGATTTACAGGCAACTAGTCGCTCTGCCTGAAACACTCCAACAGTCTTGACATTGGTTCTCCGCTTCTTTTTGCTTTCTTTGTATTGGAGATCCACAGAACTCAGGTTGTGTAGCACACCATAGGGAACAACATTGTGAGACCTCGCCGCCATAGTTTCTATGACATATTTCATAATCCGTCATATTTTGAGATCAGTTATGATGAATTACCGCTGATTGTGAAAATTTTGAACAACTGCGCAAAATGTCCCAAATTTCTGGTGATGATATTGTTAGCTCATCGTATGCAGTGTGGATACCTACTTACAGAGCTGGAAAAGGTGGCAGCAGATAAACCTTCTTTAAAGATCAACGTTTTGTACGATATTGCATGTACCTTAAACAAAACATTTGCATGTAAGCACTTCAGTGTTAATATATTTTTGAGATTGGCATCAATTTGATACAATTCTGACTGCATGCATGCATGTACAGAAAGACCTCACTGAAGTCTTATTTTTTGAAGAACCAAGATGAAAAAGAGCTTTTAGATGATCTCCAGTTCAGATGGAAAATGTCAAGTTTGTGGCTACATACTTATATAGGAATGTTATTCGACCATAAATATAGCTATCAATATACATATAACAATGTTTTTAACAATTTAAATATAGGTCTTGTTTAACCCGCAATGAAAAAAGGATTTACTTTGCTCTCACCTATGGCGAGATGCTAGAGCGGCTTTGGGCCTATATTCGGGGATTCTGAAAAATGACGAAAGAAAAGAAACCAAACCATAGAACTGATATTTTGACCGATGCTTTATTGCGTTACTTGAGGAAAACCATAGCTAGCCCAACAGTCAGGTTTTTAATGAAACAAGACACTCTCAATATATTGCCATTCTCAATATATTTTGACCGCACGCTGCATTAGGTACGTCACTCGGGTCTTGTATATGGTATAATAATTACCTAAGGTTAGCAAGAATATTTTATTGTCAATGTATCCTCAATTGTCATGGGAGCGCTATACCACCCCCCAAGTTCAGACGATAAATCCATGCTAAAATATCTTGATAGCCTGATTAATGTGCAACAAATGACGAACAGATATTTGTTATTGATTAAATTAAAGAAATTTATTCAACCATACAAATTAATGATCATGATGTAAAATTAAAAGTGGACACCGGCGCTCGTTGTAATGTCATGCCATTTGATTTGTTTAAAAAAGTTCGACGGGAGGAGAAGATCGATAATAGTCGTCCGGTTCAGTTAGTGAGCTACAGTGGGGATTCTATTAAAACGTTAGGAGAGACGGTGTTTAAGTGTTGCTTCGCCGGGGTGACTCATAATTTAAAATTTCAGGTTATCGAGAAAGCAGCAAAACCTTTAATAGGACTTCAAGATAGTCTCGGTCAACAGCTTATACAAGTCAAGTACATTCAAGAAATTAAGTCAGTCCTGTCACCAATGAATACCAAACCATGTCCTACACTAACGAAAGCAGCAGTTCTAGATGATTATAAAGATTTGTTTGATGGCGAGTTGGGTGAATTGCCAATTAAATACAAGATGAAACTGAATCCTGATGTTAGACCAGTGGTTCGACCACCAAGACGGGTTCCAGTTGCATTTCAAGACAAAGTAAAGCAAGAGCTTGATAATATGGTTACAAAAGGAGTCATTGCGCCTGTAACAGATCCAACGGAATGGGTGTCCCAGATGGTAGTTGCAAGAAAGAAAGATTCAGATGCAATTCGAATTTCCATCGACCCTAAAGATCTCAATGGAGCTATAAAAGGGGAACATTATCCGATGAGAACTGTCGACGAAGTAATAGCTCGAATGCCTAATGCACAATACTTTGCAAGCTTAGATGCTTCTCATGGGTTTTGGCAAATACCCTTGGACCACAAATCTGCATTGAAAACAGCATTCAATACACCATACGGACGTTTTTATTTCAAGCGTTTGCCGTTTGGTATAAAATCAGCTCCCGAGGTATTCCAGAAAGCTATGGATCAGATGTTCACTGGTTTGCCATGTGAGATTATAGTTGATGATATTCTCGTCTGGGGGAGAACAGAAGGAGAGCATGATCGTAATTTGCTTCAAGTTTTGGATCAAGCACGAGAAGTTAATCTTAAGTTGAAAGAGAAGAAATTCCAGTTCAAGACGACGGAGTTGAGCTATGTTGGTCATCTTCTTACCAGGAAAGGCGTGAAAGCGGATCCTGAGAAAGTTCATGCCGTGGTGGAGATGAAGACACCAGAAGATCCAAAAGCCCTTCCACGTTTCCTGGGTATGGTTAGGTATTTATCAAAGTTTATACCGAAGTTGAGTGAAATATCAGCCCCATTACGTGCATCACTCCGTGAGGGTGTATCATGGTCTTGGTGTGATAAGCAACAAGAAGCGTTCGACAGGATTAAAGTCGCCATTATCACAGCCCCAGTCCTCCAATTTTATGATGTGCAGAAAGAGGTTACCTTGACGTGTGATGCCTCAAGTCATGGTCTAGGTGCAGCGTGTTTACAAGATGGTAAGCCGGTTGCTTATGCATCTGGAGCGTTGACAGCGACCCAGAAAAAATATGCTCAAATCGAGAAGGAGCTACTGGCGGTAGTTTTTGCCTGTAATAAGTTTCACGATCATTATTAAGGAAGACAAGTAACAATTGAGACGGACCATAAGCCCCTAGAAACCCTTTTCAAAAGATGCCTGTTTACAGTTCTCAGCGATTGCAGAAGATGATGATGCAGCTTCAGTGTTATGACCTGAGTGTTGTTTATAAGAAAGGAACCGAGTTATACATCGCGGACACGTTGTCCTGTGCACATTTGGGAGAAACTATGGCAGATGAGGAAGATGAATTCGAAGTTTTGATGGTCACTCCAATTGCACCTTGGAAAATGGATGAACTAAAGAAAGAAACAGCTTCTGACCCGGTATTGGCCAAGCTGATAGCCACCATCGATAGTGGCTGGCCCGAATTGTTGAAAGAAACAGACACAGAGCTACAGGTATTCTTTAACTTTAGAGAGCAACTAATTGTGCAAGATGACATTGTTTTTAAAGGTGAAAAGATAGTGGTTCCATCTTCTTTGGGGTCTGAATACCTCAACCAGATTCACCAAGGGCATCCTGGTTCGGAAGCCATGAAGAACAGAGTGCGTGATATATTTTATTGGCCAGCTTTGTCCAGAGACGTTGAAGCCTTGTTGCCACAGTGCTCTGTTTGTAATGCCTATCGTCACCATCAACAAAAAGAGCCTCTCAAGATTCACGAAGTTCCAGTTCGACCCTGGTCTGTTGTTGCATTTGATCTCTTCACGTGGAATGGATCAGATTATCTTATAACAGCAGATTCATATTCTGGTTGGTTTGAGTTAGATACCTTAAACAGTGGGACATCATCCAGGACAGTTATTCAAAAGTTGAAGGCGCACTTTTTGAGATTCAGAATACCAGACGAATTATTCACAGATAATGGCCCTCAGTACTCAAGTTTGGAATTTAGAGAGTTCTCCAACGAATGGGGTTTTGTACACAAGACCAGCAGTCCTGGGTTTCCCCAAAGTAACGGCCTTATCGAGAGAGCAGTTCAAACCTCCAAGAGAATGCTGGATAAGTGCAAGCATGACGGAACTGATCCTTACATAGCACTTCTCAATCTAAGAAATACACCTCGTGATCAAATTCTTGGTTCTCCAGCACAACGCCTTCAAGCCAGAAGATTGAAATCCAAGTTACCGACACCCTCTCCATTGCTTGTCCCAAAAGTGATTGATCCTTTGTCAGTGAATGAGCAGTTGTTGCAGAAAAGGTTACAGCAAAAGAGATATTTCGACAAGTCAGCACGTCCTTTACCAAGTCTTCAAATCGGTGATAAAGTGCGAGTTCAAACACCAGTTGGGCATGCACGTTTTGGAGTTGTTAGAAGGTCACCAACACCTGAACAACCAAGATCGTATATCGTAACGGTGAACAGTAAGGATTATTGACGCAACCGCAGGAATCTTTTAAAAGTGGCTGAATCGGAGTCAGATATGCGAAGCAGACGAGCAGACAGAAAACCGTTGCCTCCTCGTGATCATGTGATGACAAATGCAAAGAATCATGTTAGAGCAACTGCACCGTATGTTACTGTAACAAAGAGTGGACGTTTGTCAAAGCCAGTACAACGATATCAGGCATAAAACTTATTGGTAACAATCACTTTGTTAAATACATCCACTTCGTTAAATTGAAGGACAAACATAAGAAAAACTTATTATACAATGTAACAGCAACAGAAGATGCTGAAGAAGGAGATAGTGATGAGGCTGACAATTAAAAAAATGACTTGTAATACTATGCATACTGTACAAATAATGATTGGAAATGTTTACTCAACTAAAATTAAGTTCCAATTTAATTTCATTGTGTATATAGATTTTATAACCATTAACTGGATTTTGATCAGCCAAGTGTACAAATTGAACATTGATTGTTGCCCTCACATGCAAAAGCAACAACTTTTTTGTACAGTAATTGGGATATAATCATGGTACGAATAGTACCATGCACTTGTTCTCAATGTATTAATGAAAAACTGCACTTGTGTTTCAGGAGATAATATTTAGTATAAATACACATGCAATTTCTTATTTTCTCATTGAACAATATGCCATTTCCTATACATACAAATGTTTAATTTGCGAATAATATTCTCAAACAAAAATTCAATTAAACACCATTTAAAGGTTTTGCATTTTTCAATTAAATTCATTTGCACCTACACTTTTATGGAATCATATATTTTTATCATGTTTCTTGATTACCTACATTAATTAATTACATTTTACAACTAACACAATCACATACCAAACTGCAATTGCTACAGCAAAAGTGGCCAACAACCTGTTCCAAGTGTCACATCTAAACAATCTAAAGGAAATTTCCTCATGCATGAATAATCCAAGTTGCGGTAGTCCCTAATTTCCTCAGTGATCCCTTTCCTGTTCTTTGCTATGTCTTTATTATTATAATACAACACAGCCGTTGAGGCACATCCATCTCTGCCTGCTCGTCCAGTTTCTTGCATGTACTCCCTAACAGTTCTAGGTGGTCCAATATGGATAATGTTTCTCATTGAGGGCATATCCACCCCCATGCCCATTGCAACTGTGGCAAAAACAACTCTCAACTTTGAACCAGGGTGTGCAAGTTCGTTCAAAATATGTTCCTTCATGGTAGCAGTTTGTGGCGAGTGGAATTGGGAGATTAATCGATTCTCAGGAATTGTGTCTGCACCAGTTGGAAAATATTGCTCCTTGCCTAAAATTCTTTCAAAGAGCCTATATGCAAATCCACACCATCTTAAGTTGAGATAAATAATTGTCATGGGAAATTCAGTTTTTTGTTCTAATAGCTTCATTGCAATTGGTGTTAAAATTTCTTCATATGATTCAATATCTGGACCATTCCTGAAAACCTTTTTGAAGAAAATATTTGTTCTGTTTAAGCTTCCTACAACTTCCAGTGGATTCCTCATGTGCAAGGTGCTCTTTATTACTTCTCTATCTTTTTTGCTTGCAGTTGCAGTAAGTGCTAAGACTGGAACTGATGGGAAAAAAGAGCACAGCATACCAAGATAGGAATAGTCAGTCCTAAAATTATCACCCCTAAAACATAAAAATATTTCATGTTTGGTGGTATGTGAACATAAAATTGAATAATTAAACATTCACTAAAATCAGTCAGTTATATATAGTTTGGAACAAATTTTCAAACAAAAGAATATTGTTTAACTTACCACCCAAAAATGCAGTGAGCTTCATTGACAACAATAACTTTGACCGATTTTTGGTATGGCAAAGACTGGAATAAATCCATTCCTGTTTTTGACGACAAACATGCCTCCGGATGAAGAAACATGATGTCAAACAATGCGTCCTTGATATCAGGTGCCTCACAGAAACTGGTGGAATCTTTTTCAAGAAATACTGCTTTCAAATCCGCGCCGTTATTTAGCTTTCTTAGTTGATCACAAATAAGAGAATTTAGAGGTGAAACAACAAGAATAACAGGAGTATTTAGGCTTAATTCACGACCTAATTGTATTTGTTCAAAGATATTTTGTTTGTTCAGCAATGATGGCAGCAATTGGTATATCAATGATTTTCCGTAACCTGTAGGTAAAACAGCGACACAGTCTTTCTTTTTATAAAGCGCCTCCAAGCACTTTACTTGTTTTGGCTTCAAATTTATATTGTTATAAATAACACTTTTATTGATAGCAGTATGAAGACAAGACAAAAAACCCATGCTTTCTATTCTTTATTCGATTCAACCTCGTACTTGTATTCGATTAAGCCTGCGATTAATTACCCACCCCACTTAGTAGAAGAATTCCTTTAGGGTCACATGACCAGCCCATACCAGGGTATTTTCTCCCCATGGGTAAAGACCCTGGGTACGAGGTTGAACATGAGTATGGGCAACATGAACCAAATTACTGTTATTATTAAAATTTATTGCAAATTGGCAAGGCATTTCACCAATATTTGTTGCCCAATAGGGGAATTAATAAAATATTTGCCCAAAAAATCAAATACCCCACATACGTATTGCTTGATCTTCCCCCTATTGGGCTTAACATTGATGGGTGCATTAAAAGTAGGTATTCATAAAAGGAGTGTGTGATACAAGAGCTAGCTACAAATTTATATCAATATTTATGGACTTACCACAAGCCCAAAATTATCTCGAAAATAACTTATTTGTTAATAGGGAACTGGTCGATGTCTCTGTGACAACGGCGCAGATGACTCTTGTAGCCTTTACACTTTTTATATCATGCAGTACAACCCCCAACCTTGCATGTGACGTAAAAATCAGGATCGTGATGATGATACCGCCCATAATGGTTAACAATCAATGCCATATTAAGCACAACAAATGGCATGCGATTGCCTGAACATATTTCACAGCTATAGAGCATAGCCATTTTTCTACACAATTATGAGTTACATTTACTTTTTTAAATTTTACGTCCAGCCATTGCTCTCTGCAGTCAGTGATATTAAACTGGAAATCTGGAATTATAATATTGGACAGTCTTAGGAGGGAAAAACTGAAATACCGCACGATTCTTGTGGCATAAATTTTAAATTTACATATAAAAGAAGAACATTGCCTTTTCTGGAACTATTTACAAGACTCCCGGATATGTAGGTGAACCTATAAATGGAGATGATTTTTTTCAATTGGAAATGTGGATGGTTGAGCGCTTGGTCGGAGGAATTAAAGAAGTGAAGAGATTCCGCACTTTATGGTCGAAAGAAACAAGCCAGGTCTTGCCAGTATATTTATATTGAGTTAACAAATGCTCTCTTTTTGTCTGTTTTTCCAAATAATTAGCCTCTTGAAGGATCAAAAAGTTTAAAATGACTTTCTGGATTAATTTTTTATATTATTTATTAAAAAAGTAATATTTTTTGTAGTAAAACAGCTCATAATTTGAGCTACAAAACTCGACGTTGCTATCATGCTATGGCAACAAAAAAACAAGACGCGATTACTCTCAAAATGATTTCCAAACAAATTCAAATTTATAAAGACTGATATTATTGGTTGACTGCACCATTAAGAATTAGAAAAAAGGGTGCAAGAAAAATGATAAAGAAAAAATAAGTGCAAAATATGATCAAGAAAGGATGGATCATGATGTGACCATATTGCTTTGCAAAACAACTTTACATTTACGGCCAGGCATGTATGCGGATTTGACAATGGCATCGCTCTCTCGTTTTCAAATGGACATCTTCAAACAATTAGCGCTGCTGGCCTCTCCTCTGCCCTGCGTCATCCCAGTATCCATGATTCAAACTTAAAGGACCATGTTTATGAACTTATTCAGCATTCATGGGCACCGTCAACCAAACAAACCTACACTGCTGGCATAAAACAATTCATTTCATTCTGCCTTGCAACTGAACTTACCATGCTCTACTTTGTCGGCCATCTATCCAAAAATCTGCTCTACTTCATCGGCCATCTAGTCGGAAATCTGTTTCATATTCAACTGTTAAAACATACTTAGCTAGCGTGTCTTACTTCCACGTAATTTTTCAAATCCCATTCAACATGGGGAGCATGCAAATATTAGAGAAAAGTCTGAAAGGTCTGAAGCACCTCAAGGGTGAAAAATTGTGGGATTGACGGCCTATCACTGTGACCAAACTCGAGTCCCTGCATTCTGCCCTACGTCCTCAGTTTGCAGACTGTTTAGACAATGTGATGCTTTGGGCCACCTTCACTCCGGCCTTTTTTGTTTTCCTGCGCTTTAGTGAATTCACATGTAATTCTCCATTTAATCCTGAGTGCCACCTATTCCCCAATGACATTATTTTCCACCCAAATATCCTCCACGCGGAATATTAGGATGTCTTGATCAAGCATTCAAAAACCGACCCTTTTGGTTGTGGATGCTGTTTAATAATTGGCTCATCGCCTTTTAAGCGTTTATTAAAATAAACTCTGCCCGGTTTGAGCTATGAAAACATATCTACTCCAGTCATCATCTGGCCAAACAACTCGTCCACTGATCCTTCCTGCAAACTCATAGCCTGCCGTATGTTTTGTTCTGTAATGCTACCACGGCAACTGCACAATATCTTCGAATCTGTTTGTTCAAGGACGCACTCACACACAATTGCCGACCACCTTCTGGACAACACTTCATTTGTACGGGTCATTTTGATGAGGACGAGGAGTTTTTTAGAAGGAAGAAGCCAGCGAGTAAAAATAGGTGCGAGTTTATCATCTATTAGGTCCTGTCCTTCTGGAGTCCCTCAGGGCTCTGTCATCTCACCAACAATGTTTAATGTCTATGTTAACGATCTTGAAGATTGCATTCCCAACCATTTGCAGATTAATACATACAAATATGCAGATGATTGCACTCAGGATGAGGCAATCTCATATTGCTCCACTGGCAACATGCAAACGGTGTTAGATGCAACGAATGACTTGGCACTTAGAAACAAGATGGAACTTAATATAAAAAAGACTAAAGATATGTGGATTTGCTTCAAAGAAGGAATTCCTGCACCACCTTCACTTATGATTGGTAATGATACAATTGAAAGAGTAAAAATGTTCAAGCTGCTGGGCTTTTGGTGTAGCAATACCCTTAAATGGAACACACACGTTGAAGAAATTACTAAAAAGGCAAACAAACGTTTATTCCACCTCCGGGAATGCCGCCGAGCAAACTTACCGACGGAAGTAGGTTTAACTTGTTATTTCACAAAAATTAGGCCGGTTTTGGAATATGCAGCCCCAATTTGGAGTGGTTTACTACAATATTTAATAGATGAGGTAGAGAACATTCAAACTCGAAGTCTAAAAATACTTGCTTTGCCGTCTGACCCATTTCAGTCTCTTGAACAGCGTCGTGACATGCTACGTGAATACAAGAAAATTATGGATAATGAAACGCACCCTTGCAGGAAATACATACCAGATATTGTGACAACAACATATGATCTAAGAACTCTACCGCAGTTCTTCTGTCATACCAATAGGTATAAACTATCGTTTATTCCAAGGACTAATGCACTATTATAGACAATTTTAAAATCGTAAATTTATTATATTTGTATATATACATAAATTTTAATCATATTTAGTAATTGGAAATCCATTTATACCTAAGATGGATAAATAAACTATTATTATTATTTTGGTTGAAAACGCGACCTGATGACCTGACCTAGAGACTCGATGGGTCAGTCAGACAATATTTGAGTCGAGCTGACTGACCTGAACAGGGGTCCGCCTGTTCCTCTGTTATCTAGAGGTCCACCTGTTTCTCTAGAAAAAACTATAGTTTTTGCATGCTCTGTCGGGTTTTACTTACCTTACTGTCTCAGTATAACTAATGGTGGTCCCTAGATCATCAGGTCTCAACTCATTGAACAACATGCACAGAGCTGGCTCACACCCTCTGCAACTTAGAGGTCCTCCTGTTCCCCTAGGAAAAACTTAGGTTAATTAGAGCCTCTAGACCTTTTTTCGAGTGCTTCCTGCCCAAATTATATGCCACAAAAATGTCTCATTGTGTTGTTCCTTTGTGAGTTGCCAGACGTTCAAAATCCTTATAAAGAATCTCAACATATAAACTACATTAATGTATATATACTTTCTCTTCAAAAAAACATATTTGCAGGATGCATGTATGGTAATGCTGTAATACTCACTGCATATACATTATTAAATATCGTTTACTCAAACTCTCCTTTTGTATTATATGCAAGCTTCATGAAACTAATTATGGTGTACAGTACTATAGTAAAATTGATGCCACAGAATAGTCGTAATGACCCCAAATAAGAGTAAAATCGATGCTAAAGAAGAGTTCAAATGACCCCAAATGAGAGTAAATTGATGCCAAGGAAGAGTTGAAATGACTCAAAATAAGAAAAAAATCGATGCCAAAATGGAGTCAAAATCACTCCAAATGAGACTAAAATCAATGCTAAAAAAGAAGAGTCAAAAGACTCCTAATAAGGGTGAAATTGATGCTAAAGAAGAGTCGAAATGACTCCAAATAAGAGTAAAACGATGCTAACGAAGAGTCAAATGACTCCAAATAAGAGTAATATTGATGCCACAAAATAGTCGTAACCCCAAATAAGAGTAAAATCGATGACAAAAAGGATTCAAAATGACTCCAAATAAGAGTAAAATTGATGCCAGAGGAGAGTCAAAAATCAAAATGACTCTTTCAAAACGACACTTTTGAGGAGTTAATTTGCATTCTAACTCTTGCAAGAGTCATTTTGAAACGACTCCATGGGTAGTCAAAATGACTCTAGTTAAAGGGTTAAAACGAATCTTTGCAGGTGTCAACCCAAAATGAGTCAAAATGACTCTCTTCAAGAGATCGTCCTAGGGTTAAGAAAACAACTCTTTTGAATTAGCAGTGCAGTAACCATGGTAACACAGGGATGTTACGCATAATTTTTTTTTTCATTTAGACATGAACTTGGAAGTTAAATATCTGAATGTCAAACCCTTGAAGAACTGACGGCTTTGGAGGGACTTTACATCCTGAGTGAATTTGAACAACGCTTAGTTTTCAAGAAGAAAATTGAGATTATTAGCCGTTTGCTAGAGTGCGGTGCCGAAAATAAACATGTTGGGCTTACAGCGAAGATTTCGGATTCCTGGTTGCCGGATCAAAGACAGCAGCTCTTGTACGACTGGCAGAATGATGAACCTATTCGGGAAATTGTGGCAACTGAAGAATTAAATAACCT